GAGAGAAGAAGAGAGAGAAGAGAGGAGAGAGAGAGGTAGATAGCCATCCATCACAGGCAGCAGGCGGCCGGGCTGGTCGGTTATTAAGATGTCGGTCAGGGATAATTTTTGCCACGGCTGATCTGCGGTAATACGCGGGTAAGGTCCGTTGCGCATGATGGAAAGTATTGTAGATAGGTTAGCGTTAGTACGAGTACACAGCGACGGAAGCACCGTTGGTCTTAAATCATCATGTTGTTATTTGTCTATGTGTGTGTGGTGTTGTGTGTGTGTGGTGTTGTGTGTGTTTGTGTGTGGTGCGTGTGGTGTGTGGTGTGTGTGTGTGTGTGTATGTGTGTGTGATGTGTGTTGTTGATGGTGGTGTGTGTGTGTGCTGTGCTGTGTTGTGGTGTTGTGAGAGAGGAGTGTGATGTAAAGCGAGTATGTGTGTCAGTGAGAGTGAGTTGCCGAAAAGAGCGGAGAGGAGAAAATGCGCCACGCGCGCGAGAGAGAGAGAGAGAGAAGAGAGATACAGACATACAGTATGAGAGGCGAGAGATGAGAAACAGGAGAGAGACAGAGAGAACAAGAGAGCGAGAGACAGACAGACAGACAGAGAGAGAGAGATGAGAGAGAGAGAGTAGACAGAAGAGAAGCAGATGAGAAAGAGAGACGAGAGAGAGAGAGACGAGAAACAGAAAAGGAGAAAGAGAGAAAGAGAGGCGAGCCGAGAGAGGAATGTTGCGAGGACAGAATAGAGAAAGAGAGAGAGAGGGGGGAGGAGTAAGTGAGTGAGAGTGGCTGTCATCATCACAGCCCGACGTATATGATCACGCGTCATTAACCACGTGACAGACGTTGCCGGGTCGACGTGATGCATTCATTCGTCGCGTGCGTGTAGTGCGTGGTGTGTGCGCGCGCTGTGTTCGTTGCGACGCGGTGCGTGCGTGCGGGTGACAGGTACACGACCGTGTATGCACGCATCCACGCATATTTGTTGCTAACGAGTTAAACAAATGTAATTATTATAACATGAATGTACTTATTTACTCCTAATATCATCGTAAAATTCGATCAATCTATTCCTCAGAGCATCCCCATTCTCTCCCTCATTCTCCCCCATTTTCATCCTCTTTTCTCATCCTCATCCTCATTCTCATCCTCATCCTCATCATCGTCCTCATCCTCATCTTCATCCTCATTCCCCATCCCCATTCCGTCATCCGTATCCTAATTCCTCATTCCTCATCTCATCCTCATACCTCATCCTCATTCTTCATCCCATCTTCATTCTCATCCTCATCCTCATCCTCATTCCTCATCTCATCCTCATCCTCATCCTCATTCTCATCCTCATCCTCATTCCTCATCTCAGTCCTATCCTTACATCCTCATCCTCAATCCTTCATTTCTATCCTCATCCTCATCCTCTCCTCATGCCTCATCCTCATCTCCTCCTCATCCTCATCCTATCCTATCTCATCCTCATCCTCTTTCCTCATCCTCATCCTTCATCCTCATCCTCATCATCACTCTTCATCCTCATCCTCATCTCATTCTCATCCTCACCTTCTCTCATCCATCCTCAATCTTCACTTCATCCTCTCCTCATCCTCATGCTCATCCTACATCCTCATCCTCATCCTCATCCTCATCCTTCTCATCCTCATCTGCATTTCTCATCCTCATCGCTCATCTCATCTCTCATTCCTCATCCTCATCTCTCGTCCTCCTCATCCTCATCCTCATCTCATGACCTCATCCTCATTACTCATCCTTCATCCGGATTCTCAACATAATTCTCATCATCATCTTCATCCTCATGCTCGTTCTCATCCTCGTCCTTCATCCTCATCTCATCTCATCCTCACCTCATTCCTCATCTTCTCCTCATCCTCATCCTGCATGCCTCATCCTCATCCTCATCTCTCCTCATCCTCATTCTCCATCCTCATCCTCTATTCCCCATCATCATCTTCATCTCATCCGTCATCCTCAATCCTCATCTTCATCCTCAATCCTCATCCTCTCCTCATCATCATCTTCATCCTCATCCTCATCTCATTCTCACCTCATTCCTCATCCTCATCCTCATCCCCCTATCCTCATCCTTCATCCTCATCCTCATCCTCATCCTCATCCTCATCCTCATTCTCATCTCATCCTCATATCTCATCCTCATCCTCATCCTCATCCTGCATCCTCAGTCCTCATCATCACTTCATCTCATTCCTCATCCTATTCCTCATCCTCATCTCCATCATCCATCATCCTCATCCTATCCTCATCCTCATTCCTCGATCATCATCCCTCATCCTCATCCTCATCATCTTCATCCGTCTCCTCAATCATCATCTTTCTCTCTCATCTCTTCATCCTCTCCTTCATCCTCATCCGTCATCCTCTACCTTCATCTCATCCTCATCCTCATCATAATCTTCATCTCCTCATCCTCATCCATCATTTCTCATCCTCATCCTCATCCTCATCCTCATCATCATCTTCATCCTCCTCATCATCTTCATCTCGATCTACATACCCATCCCATCTTCATCCTCATCCGCATCCTCATCATCTTCTCTGCTCTCTTCCTCAGCATCATTCTGGCGGAGGTGTACCTGCGTTACGAGAGCATAGAGAGCGACGTTTGGTGTATTAAGATCATCGGCCATGCGCGCCACCAGCGTGGCCTGGCGAAAGGCTTACATTACGTCGCCGACCGTCACCGCGACGCCTCGGACAGACGGCTTCACGGAAGAACACGTGAGTACCGACACACGCACGCAACCCAGCACGCACGCACGCACGCACGCCAGACACGCTTCGCACCACCACCACACGCAGACACGCACGCACGCACCCAGCACGCACGCACGCACCCAGCACGCACGCACGCACACGACACGCACCCAGCACGCCACGGCACACACCACGACCCAGCACGCGACGCGACAGCACAGCACACACGCACGCATCCAGCACGCACGCACGCAGACACACGCAACGCAGCAGGGGACACACGCACGCACGCAGGACACACGCACACACGCACGCACGCCACACCAGCACGGCACGCCACGCACGCACGCACGACACATTCACACACGCACACGCACACATTACTCATATGTACTCGCCGCGCAAAGAACGCACGCACGCATCACACGCCACGTACAACGCACCACGCACGCACTAACACACAAACACACACACAACACACACACACAACACACACACAAACACACACACACACGCACGCACGCCAGCGCGGCGTAGGGTTTGACCTATGATGACTTAGTATTGATTGGCAGTACTTCATTCACGCAGCAGCACGCAGCACCGCAAATCCTAAATCTCCTACTGAGGTGAATCTTACCGAAACAGAGAAAGGAAACGCGAGTTAGACAGATTATTTATGATTATATATAGTATAGGTTCTATAGTTATTGATAGACGATAGTGAAGCGACCAAATTAAAAACGCAAACGTGATATGACAACACAGTTTTGATCATAGCGGATGGGCGACGTGTGACGCATGACGGATGGGTAGATACGATGAATGGTGGTTGATGATGACGGTGATAACTGACGGTCGATGGCGTGTGATGTGATGATGAATGGTGTGAGGCGACGATGACGTGAATGATAACGATGATGACAGGTGATAATGACGAATGGATTATGGCCGATGATGATGATCGATGAATGATGGAATATGATGACGGCATGATAATGACGGTTCGATGCTGATGGTGATGGCGACGATTGCGCATGCTGATTCGGCGACTGCACTGACGGTTGATAGACGATGATTGAATGGCGATGATGATGCATATGATGATGACAATGATGACGGTGATATAGACGGGTTTCCGATGCCGTTTGATGACTTGAGCGACGATGCCGATTTCGATGATGACGGACGATGACGGTGATGCATGATCGATGATTGATTGCGTGACTACGCGGACCGAGTGGCGTCCGGCCGCTGAGGGCGTCCAACTCACACCTGCCCACCATCTCACGCTGCGCTGCTCCCCGGTCTTCTCTCTATCCTCTCTAAAGATATCTTGCCCTATCACGATAGTACTCGCGCCCATTGTGCCTATTCCCACCTATTCACCCCGCGTACAATTTAGCTTTACGTACTCAACTCTTATTGCCGTATTTATTTAATATCTTAACTTTCTATTGATGTGAGACGGCCGGCCATTGGTTGAAGATAGGTCCGCGCATTTTATTGCGGTCGTCTGTACCTAACACTTTACCGTACGATTAAATAAAGTTTCTTTACTTACTTACTACTTACTGCCTCTGTTTCTTATGTCAAGCATCGGTCTGGGGAGGTTTGGTCGGCCGCGGTCGCGCCGTTGGTGGACAAGGAAGTGAAACACATTATGCAGAGAGTCTTTCAGGAAATGACTGTGTGAACCAAATATTATACTATATTCTACTTATCTTTTGGTTAAACTCTGTTCTTCTTCTCTCTCTTCTCTCTCTCTCTCTCTCTCTCTCTCCTCTCTCTCTCTCTCTCTCTCTCTCCGCGTCCGCGCTCTCTCTCTCGTCTCTCTCTCTTCTCTCTCTCTCTCTCTCATCTCTCTCTCTCTCTCTCTCTCTATTGCTCTCTCTCTCTCTCTGTTCTCTCTCTCTCTCTCTCTCTTCTCTCTCTCTCTCTCTAATCTTCTTGTTCTCTCTCGCCCTCTCTGTTCTCTCTGCTCACTCTCTCTCTCTCTCTATCTCTCTCTTCTATCTCTCTACTCTCTCTCTTCTCTCTCTCTCTCTCTCTCTCTCTCTCTACTCCTCTCTTTCTCTCTCCCTCTCTCTCTCTCTCTCGCGCTCTCTCTCTCTCCTCTTTCTCTCTCCTTCTCTCTTCTCTCTCTTCTAATGCGCGCTCTCTCTCTCTTCTCTCTCTCTCTCTCTCTCTCTCTCTCTCTCTTCTCTCTCTTCTCTCTCTTTCTCTTCTCTCTCTCTCTCTCTCTCTCATCTCTCTTCTATTCTCTTCTCTTCGCTCTCTCTCTCTCTCTCGCGGCTCTCTCTCTCTCTCTCCTCTCTCTCTCTCCTCTCTCTCTCTCTCCCTCTCTCTCTTATTGCCGCGCTCTCTCTCTCTATTCCTGCTTCTCCTCTCCTCTCTCTCTCTGCTCCTCTCTCTCTCTGTCTCTCTTCTCTCTTCTCTTTCTTTCTCGCTCTCTTTCTTCTCTCTCTCTAGCTAATATAGTTGGGCATGTGCGATGCAGGGCGCGCGGTCCGTGCTGGCGCAACGGCTGAGAGCTAGCCCGGTCAACGGGGTCATGCTAGGATGCCCAGTCGTCGAGATATGTGTGCGGGGTGTGGGCGCGGGAGTGGCGGGGCGGGCCTTAAATTGCATTACTGCTGTTATTATGGGTCTCTCTACTCGTCTTTTCCTCTCTCTCATCTCTCTCTCTCTCGTCTCTCTATCTCCTCTCTATCTCTCCCCTCTCTCTCCCTTCTCTCTCTTCTCTTCTCTTCTCTCTCTCTCTCTCTCTTTCTCTCTCTCTCTCTCTCCGCTGTCTGTCTGTTTCTCACCCTCTGTCTCTCTTTCCCGCACCTCACTTCTCGTCTCTCTCTCCTGTGTTTCTCTGGCCCCCTCCTCTCTCTTTGTCTGTTGTTTTCTCCGCCGTGTGTGTGTCTCTCTCTCTCTCCTCTCTCTCCGCTTCTTCTCACTCTCCTTCTCTTCCCCTCTCTCTGTCATAACCTCTCTCTTCTCTCCCTTCATTCTTTATGTGCATGTCCCCTGTGGTGTGTGTGTGTGTCTGTGTGTGTGCTCGTTCGTGTGGTGTGGGCCAACTTGTGCCCTTGTGTTGTTTCCTATGTCCTGCTGCTCGCGTTCTTTCCTCTTCTCTTCTTTCTATTTTTGACATACCCTTTATAATCTTTGTGTGTGGTCGCATATACATGCCTCAGTACCATTACGCAGTCCTTTCTTCCGCATTACCGCGCAACCCACGCACGCGCGTCCTCGCCGCCCTCCCACATTACAAATTGCACCCCCCCATCCCGATCTCACCACAGCATCCTAACTGCTTATACGCCCACTCACACTAAACTCCCCGGCCACCCACACTTCGGCCTATTCCTCGATGCCCTGTGCTCGCTGGTTCCCGGTTGTGTGAGGGATGGAGTGTCGTGATGTCGTGTGTGTGCTGTGTGTGTTGTGTGTGTGTGTTGCATGTGGCTCTCGCGCTGAGAGAGAGAGACAGAGAAGGAGTGTGTATATATATTTGGTTCACACAGTCATTACCTGAGAGACTCTCTGCATAATGTGTTTCACTTCCTTGTCACCACGCGCGCCGCGCCGACCAAACCCTCCCAGACCGATGCTGACATAGAAACAGAGTAGCAAGTAAGTAAGTAATAAGTAAGTAAAAACTTTATTTAACGACGGTAAAACATGTTAGGTACAGACACAATAAAATGGCGCGGATCTATCTTCCACATGGCCGTCTCACATCAATAGAACAGTTAAATATTAAATAAATACACAATAAGAGCTGAAGTACGTAGACTAAAATTGTACGGGGTAAGTAGAGCACAATGGGCCTTATTGATAGGGCAAGATTATCTTTAGAGAGACAGAGAGAGACGCCGCGGTGAGATGGTGGCAGGTGTGAGGTGGACGCCCTCAGGCGGCCGGCCCACCGTCGCGGTAGTCACCATCATTATCGTCATCATCACCGTCATCGTCGTCATCATCATCGGCATCGTCGTCATCATCAACGGCATCGGAACCGTCATTATCACCGTCATCATCGTCATCATCACCATCATCGTCGTCATCATCATCGGCATCGTCGTCATCATCAACGGCATCGGAACCGTCATTATCACCGTCATCATTGTCATCATCATCATCATCATCATCATCATCATCATCGCCATCATCATCGTCATCATCACCGTCATCGTCGCCATCAGCATCGGCATCGGAACCGTCATTATCACCGTCATCATCATTCATCATTATCATCATCATCATCGCCATAATCATCGTCATTATCACCGTCATCATCGTCATCATCACGTCATCGTCGCCATCACACCATCACCATCATCATCAGCATCGGCATCGGAACCGTCATTATCACCGTCATCATCACCACCATCATCATCGTCATCACCATCGTCATCGTCACCGTCGCCATCGCTATGATCAACCGTTGTCTTATCACGTTTTCGTTTAATTTGGTCGGTTCACTATCGTCTATCATAACTATAGAAACCTATAAACTATATATAACTATATAAAATCTGTCTAATCGCGTTTCCTTCTTGTTTCGGTAGATCACTCAGTAGGAGATTTAGGAGTTGCGGTGCTGCGTGCTGCTGCGTGAATGAAGTACTGCCAATCATACTAAGTCATCATAGTCAAACCCCGGCGTGCGTGCGTGCGTGGTGTGTTGTGTGTGTGTGTGTGTGTGTGTGTGTGTGTGTGTGTGTGTGTGTGTGTGTGTGCGTGCGTGGTGCGTTGTTACTGCGTGTGTGCGTGCGTGCGTTCTTGCGCGCGAGTACATATGAGTAATGTGTGCGTGTGCGTGTGTGCATTGTCGTGCGTGCGTGCGTGCGTGCGTGGTGCGTGCGTGTGTCTGCGTGCGTGCGTGCTGGGTGCGTGCGAGTGTGCGTGTGTCTGCGTGCGTGCTGGGTGCGTGTGTGTGCGTGCGTGCTGAGTGCGTGCGTGTGCGTGCGTGCGTGCTGGTGCGTGCGTGCGTGCTGGTGCGTGCGTGCGTGTCTCCGTGCTGGTGGTGGTGCGAGCGTGTCTGCGTGCGTGCGTGCGTGCGTGCTGGGTGCGTGCGTGTGTCGGTACTCACGTGTTCTCCGTGAAGCCGTCTTCCGAGGCGTCGACGGTGACGGTCGGCGAGCGTATATAAGCTTTCGCCAGCCGCTGGTGGCGCTGCATGGCGATGATCTTACACCAAACGTCGCTCTCTATGCTCTCGTAACGCAGGTACACCTCCCGCAGATGATGCTGAGGAAGAGACAGAGAAAGATGATGAGGATGCGGATGAGGATGAAGATGGGGATGAAGATGATGATGAGGATGAAGATGATGAGGAGGATGAAGATGATGATGAGGATGAGGATGAGGATGAGGATGAGAATGAGGATGAGGATGAA